GAACACCCAGTTGCACATTTTTTGCAAGTAGTATCATCAAAATAATACCCATCATTACAAGCAGTACAAGTGGTGGCATCACTACATTTTTTACAACCAATTGCACATTCTGTGCATTTACTTCCTTTAATATAATACCCATTAATGCATGTGGTACAGGCAGTGGCAGAAGTACAAACTAAACAGCTTTCTGAACATTTTGTGCAAGATCCACTTTTTTCGAGATGATACCCAACATAACAATGTTTGCAAATATTCGTGTTAGTACAATGAAAACAGCCATCTGAACATGTTGTGCATTCCCCATTGTTAACATAGTATCCTACTTTACATATATCACATTTTGGTGGATTATCTGTCGTACATGAAAAACAATTTTTAACAGGTGGGTTACAATCATCTGAAAAAGCAGTAAATACTGTAAACGATAAAAAGATTAAAGTTTTCATTGAATGATAATCAAGTTGATAAAAACATTTTAATACTTAAAGTTGTTGTTGTTTTTTTATTCGTTTGTTTTTTAAACAAGTTGTCTTTTCAATTGTTCGACACGTATGATTTGCCTACCTCTCGTTTCAATTTATTATTAACACTATATCACAATGATAAAACAATATTAAAGATATTGTAAACAAAAACAGGTGCAAGTTTTAATTGTTATACAAATAGAATTTAAATTATAAATAAAACTTTTGCATTATGGAAATAATTATATGGTAGTAATATAAAAATATTATATTATATTAACATTCAATAATAATATTTTTAACAATAATAATTCATAAAAAATGCACAAAACAATATATTTTAAACCTGTTTTGTTTTTTGAGTCTCATTCAACTCTTCCACCATTTGAAATCACAGTAAAACCTCCCAAGAGTGGGAGTATGTGGTTTTTTGTTATCTCAAAAGCGGGCATTTTTAGCCATTCAAACCTTAATTACCGCTTTTGATAAAGAACTCTATGTTTAGTTTAAGTCTGAAAATGCTATTTTTTGGGAGGTTTTACTGTATTTATAACAATATACACATAAATGTTTTAAATGACAACATAAACGTTGTTTAAAACATTGTCTGTGACATACAAAGATTGTATTAATGATAATTCTTTTGTACTGAATTTTTTGCCAATGGTAGTTGGGTTTTACTATTGTTGTTATTTTTTGTTTTCAAAATTTAGTTTTGGAATTATTATTAAAAGAAAAAAATAGAAAATCTTTAAAAACACATGCCAATTCATTTGATATGACAAGTTTTACATAAGAAGTTTAATTTAAAGAAGTTAATGCATAGAGTATTTGAATAAAACGGATTTGTTTTTAAAATTGATATTTTACTGATCGTTGAAGTACACCAACAAATAAGTTAAATGCTTTGTGAGGTTTTAAAATAAAAGTAAATGTAAGTGAATGCTTGTACCAAAATACTTATGATAACACAAAAGTGATTAATTTGTGTTAAAATATATAAAATGGTAAAAAATACCATTTGTGTGATAAATTGTTT